GGAGCGAAGATCCTTCCTGATAACATTTACAACATGTACTTGCAAATACCCGCTAATAATCAACAAAATACATTTTTTAATGCCAAAATGTAGACTCTTCAGGGCATGTACACATCAGGATTGCCAGCTTTACAGAAACTATGTACAGTTTGTTCAAAATGGAAAAAAAGGATAATGATAAATTCATAAAATTAAACAGATCCTTTCTCCAGTCTAAGGACCAGTTACCAGTATTCCCTGTGGTCTCCCTGCAGCTGATCCTTTTCCTACTACTGACTTATCAGGGCTTGTTCTGCACTGTGTGTAGGTGAGCATCTTGCTTTCCTATGTCAAAGAATCCAGTATGGAGAACAGTGATCAGCACAGAAGTGACTTCACCAAATTGTACCCCAAAACTCTTGAAACTAATAGTCAGAGGCAGCAGTTCCTTAAATAATCTCATACTGCAGATATACAGCTATGAGGCTGTAGACACAGCAGTGCCTAGGCACCTTCACCTACCAGGAAGTGCACAATTATTTTTTTCAAAAAAAGGTAAATTTTAGATAAAATGTGGTACTGTTTAGTCACAAATAACATATTTGATGTCCCTAATAACATTGCAAGTCTTCACTTTTATTATTTTGGCTCAAATTTAATCACTTAAGGAAAGCTTAGCCTGCAACATATTGTAGATGGGCAGCCCATGGAGGCAAAGTGACGTACTGGTACATCGCTACATGCTTTCATATATAGGCTCATGCATGTGACACCCACTGCAATTGTTCCAATGCGGGCATCTGTCAGCATGTCACGGCTAATGATTCATGGCTGATCGTCTGTGTCCAATCACATCCCAGAGCCCTGTGTTGACAATCATCACAGGGCTGTGTACAGACAGAGTGATCTCTCAGTTCCTTACCACTGCAAAGCAGGGATAAAAAAAAAAAGAGATCTGTTAGTAAAGCAGCACACATTACACTTAGTAAGGCACACATTTAGTCCCTTGATAACTCTAGATGTTAAACCCTTTACAGATAGATCATTAGTACAGTGACAGTGTATAGTATTATCACTGATATCATTAGTCACTTATATCACTTATATCATTATCATTTGTGTCTCTGGTGAAGTCAGTGGCAGTCAGTCAGTTCCCCCCCAGCATCAGTTAGTGGCAGATTGGCCGCCACACTATCGTAGTCTCATTTATAAGTTGCTGATCACTGCCATTAGTTGTATTAGAAAAAAAAATCCAATATATATTCCAGAGTTTGTAGACACTATAACTTTCACACAATTCACTTTGTGAACGGCGATCGGAGTGAAGCACATTTGCAACATGGAGAGGTGTTACTACTGATGTGGAAGCAGTACCCCTTTGAAATCCAACTGTTATATGGTTAAGCTTCTAGGCCACTAGGTCCTACTGGCTTTTTGTAACCTTACTATTTGGCTACTTAGGCTCCATGTACACGGGACATTTGGAAAACACTTCTGAACAAAGGAAACTGACTGCTGGAAAACATAGGTTAAAAAACTGTATAAAATAAAGAAAAGTGAGCGCACTCCAGTGAGCGGCAAATGCACAAAAAAGGAACTACAAGCCCTTCCATCCAGAATAGAAACAATATAAGTGCAGCGCTACAAATAATATCCAAGTGACAATTATATACGGTCATCAAATATAGGAATATTAAAGATGATAAACAGTTCAGTGATGGGGGACTCTCAGGGAGTATAGGTGCAATCCAATCCCAGGAATAGATAAATTGCCTGCTTACCAGAATCGCAATTATAATACGCATGTACAGGTTACATGTAGCCGGGGTCCCATGTAGGCGCTGCTTTATAGTACCCAGATGGTCCGTCGGTGGTAAGACGATGCTGGCCTGGTCAGATCACACTGCTCCTTGGATCCACACAGAGAACCTAAAAATGCTGGGGCTGAGGTATGGGAACTCAGTGCCAGGTATAAGGAGTAAAAATACTCATAGTGTAGTATGTTTTAAAATTATTTATTAAATCCAATACGTAAACCATAAAAGTTACAAAATGCATGCCTGCAGCGTGTAGCCAGTATAAGCAGTTTGAAAAAGAGATTCTATACACTGACCAGTGAAAACCATAGGTGGGCCGCCGGACCTCCTGACCGGCGGCGTAACGTCAAGGCGTGCGAAGGCTCCTCCTATATAGGTTAAAAAACGTCTGTTTAGCCACGTTTGCATACCGCATTTATGTGCGTTTATGAGCGTTTGCTTTTAAAAGCGTTTTTTTAAAATAGCCTCAGGAGACCTTCCAAAATGCCCAGAATGCACTGAAAACAGTAAAAAATTAACTATTTCAGACATTTTGAGAGAAATAGAGAGAGCATAAGCAGAGAGAGCAGTATATGTGGAGATGACCTGTCTTTTCTGGTTGTATTCACTATGGATCCCATCATGAGCATAATGTGGCACATTCTATCATTTTTTCCTTCACGCAAAACCTGGAACTGACTGCGCTGGTGTACCGGGTCCATTTGAATACATGGAAAACACTTTGCATGCATTTCTGATGATGAAAAAAGGCTCTGGACAGCATCTGGATATGGAACAGTTAAAAAAACGTTTCTAAACGCAAACGCTTATAAACTCGGTTAGCCGTGTTTACACTCATTTACAAGCGTTTAGCGTTTTAAACGCTGATAAAATCTACTCCTGAACGCAAGTTTGGTGCATTCAAAAAAACGACTGTAAACTCAACTGCCTGTAAACGACTGTAAACGACGATATGTACATGGGCACATAGGAAAACATTAGGGAGAGTTCAGGGCCTGCTGAAAAAAAAAGCCGAACAGCTCCTAAACGTGAGTTTATCAGCTGCAGTGTACATGGAGCCTTAGGAGCGTTGCTCTCTCTCCCTATGCATGGTCCTTGCGGCTTCAGGCCTTTTCTTGGACATCCTCTCCATTGTGATACCATCTCTTGCCTTCTGTGCTTACTGACATATCTGTGAAATTATAATACTGGACTTGTTCTCTGTCCCCCCTTGTTATTGGGGGTCTTCCATTTGGATTTCAGCCATTTTCAACTGCACCCCTTGAACCCCTAAAGAAGCTAAAGTGAAAAACACATTGGGACCTTGCTATATTGTGTGATCTGCCTTAACAGTTCTAATACCTTCATGTAATCAATTATACAAGCAGAAGTAATGCTTTCTGGGGGCTGTGCTATTAGCCCTGGTTCACACTGATGCAGTGCGGAATTCATAGCATTTTCAGTGCGAATTCCACATCGCATCAGAATTGCACCTGTTCATGAGAACCGCTGCGGGTGTGTATGTTAAGTTAACAACACTCCGAAAGCGGTCCACAAAACGTGGTGCGATGTGCAGAATCAGATCGCATAGGTGTGAATACCTATGCGATCCGATTCTATTGCGGACCAAAAAAGGGTCCTGCGTGTTTTTGGTGCGGGTGCAGTGCGAATAGAACCGTACAAAATGTATGGCTCCGATCGCACTGCATACAAATCGCATGTGATTTGTACAGGATTTGTGCAGTGCTCAAAGCCTGCCTACGCCATAGTGAAGAGGAGGCGATATTTGTAGTCTAAATCAGGATAGCAGCCTTTGGGTGACAACACTGATCCTCCATAGACACAATAATTGAACATTGGCACCCTAGGACAGGAAATGTGTTATCAGCAGGATCACTAGATGAATAAAAAGCCTGAAAAAAAAAATACAGTCATCACATTTACAGCTGAACTCCGGGCTAAGCAAATGGTGTCTGAATACAAGAGTCCTGTGTATTCTTCCTTGAATATTGGTGTGCTTTGTGTATTTCTTCCAGATCTGTGCAGAAATCCAGTGTGAATCTTTTCCTCTGTACAGCTTCCTGTAATAAAGACCGGTCACTGCTTCTCTCTTCTTGTGCAGGGGGACTGGTCTTGTCTTCGCCCCCTCCTGTAGTTTTCTGCAGGCAGCCTGAAGTGGGTCCCTCCCACAGCTCTGTCTATGTATGGCACAGTAATGATGTCATTTCTACTTTTACAAGCTAATAGGAGGGTTTGCAAATGCTTTTGGTGCACACAAAATAGATTTAAATGCTTTGTTGCTATTGAGGAATATGTTTAAATGAAAAGTAGTTATGCCCTGAGGTAAGCTTTAACCTCCCTAGCGGTCTGATTATGTCCATATTTCTGTGCTCAAAGCGGTACTTTTTTTGCATGGAAATATGTATTTTTTTTTTATTGTAGGCCTGTAAATTTTAGGAATAACTCACTGACATCTGTCCGAACAAGAGTCTAGTACACATCCCGGGTATGTTAAAATTTGAAACACGAAATCATAAATGATAATTTAATAAATAATCATAAAAAATAATAATATAATAATAATACATTTAATTCAATAATATAATCAAACCAAAAAAACACTGAAATTTGAAATATAGCGCCAAGTTCGCACATCACTGAGCAAAGTCGCAAAATCGTTTTCAGTGTCTGATGACGAATTTCCCCACGAATCATTATCACTCAATTCTGCAATTGGTTCTGATTTACTATCGCTGTTCTCTAGCTGGTCTAAAACCGATTTTGACCTACAGGGACGCTTTTTGGACGCCATGGACATTTCTCAGTTTCCAGGCAGAAAGAACAGTAAAAATGTAGGCAGGACACAGGACAAAGCACTCGGGACAAAATGTATGTGAAATGGTTTGATACAGTAATGTTTTACTATGTGATTTTAGTGAATGTCACTTTTTGTCATTTTCAAATTTCCCACTGTTCCATCCCCTGTACATCCCGACACTCGCAGAGGACGGAACCCAGATGACAGATGCCGGCATCTGCCGGATTACAGTGCCGGGGACACAGCAGGAGGGACATCGTGGGAGCGCAGGACAAGTAAGTGATCGAGGGATCCTGGAGAAGCCCCGCATGGTAAGCCCGAGTGTTCCTCGGGGTTACCTCTTGTGGTACTGAAACTTTACCCGAGCTACACTCGGGAATACCGCCAGGGAGGCTACGGACTGGTAGCTGCAATATATTATTTTATTTTATTTTGCTGGGGTTAAGATATGTTTTTATCAGTTTATCAATAACTTACAGTAGACAATAGGATTGGCTTGTCGCCTTCTGGACTGCCATAGCCCTAATGCTAGCTTTCTTCTACCAGAAACCCCTTTTGGCTTTGTGTCAGTACTACATGTGGGGTTTGACCTCCTAATTAATTTCTTAATTTGTTAAATAATCTTTTTGCTGGAAATCTTAGGTCAGCTGCCTTGTGAATCCCAGGGGCCTGGCTTTCTCTGTCTGAATTATTAATAGTATGACTCCTTATTGGGTGTAAAGTTACTAACCGCCATTGCTTCAGGGCTCATTTGTTGGCCGCACATGCCGTTCAGGTTATTTTTAGGGTTTTAATGATTGCACAGTATACAGGAGCACACATATCCAAACATATCTAATCGTATGTATATGGCTGAGATAAACCGTGCCCTGTCATTGCGATGTGACACTTATATCAGTATCTAGAGAAAAGTAACAGATTTACTGGGAAAGAGAACCTCTCATGCCCTGAATTACATCATTAAAAACCTAAGTAGTCAAGGCTGACTCACCTTTTCTTCCAGTTTTTGGAGAGGAGTCAACAGTTTTTTTCAGTCTACAAATTCAACATCATTATTTTGTCCACATTCCCTGTTGACGTAGTGGTGGCAATGACATCACAAAAAAAAGTGACTTCCTTCCTGGCTTGACATTGTATTTCAGGACCTCTTGAATAATATTGCTAGTAAAGTGGTCAATCGGGGTCTATTTATTAAAGATGAACTCCAGCCTTCCTTTCAGTCTTGCAAAATGGTACAGGCAACTCGACTGTACATGTAGCGCTACCCCCATGGGAGCCGCTGAGTTTGATTGCCCCCCCAAGCTCTGCATGGCCAGGCAAAACACATTTCCCACATCTTCACATACAATCAGCAAAACAGTCCTTGAGCTGTTTTTTCCGTTGTTTTATTGAGGGGTTAACAACTTGGTGGGGTCTAGGGGTATATGGGATGTCCAAGAAGCTGCAAACTTGAGGGAAAACTTCTTAGCAATCTTTACACTGTACAAAAATGTGGATGAGCAAAAACAGCACTGTCTCTTTAAAGAGCACTGTCTCTTGATGTACCTCCTCAGACCCCAGATGAATCCTTCCCCTTCCCCTGACTGCACTGAGGGTATGCAGGGCAAGGGATTCCAAGATCTGCCACTTAAGTAGTCCCAGATGAGAACTAGTTGGGTCTTGCACCTGACCACCCTCTCCCTTTATCTGGTCCAGGAGGTATAGAAGTACTCACACTGTCCTGTACTGATAGCTTGGTGGGTTGCAGCTGCTTTCAGGCCTTGAGCTGAGCTGGCTCCTTCCCTGCCGACAGCATTTGTCCTCCATAGGAGACTTGGTACAGTGGAAATCCTTCTGTCCAGCAACCAGCTTGTAGGTAGGCTTCCCTCCCTAGGGCACCCTCCCAGGCTCTATTCTCCAGCACCTTCTATCTTCCACCCAACTCCTGCTGCTGCACAAACTCTATCATATTTAAGGGTTGTCTTTGGCCATCATGACCAGCCTCCTTCCTGGGGATTGACCAAGTTCACCTAAACATGCAAATCTGGGCCTTCTCCTCTCCCCCGTCCCTCTTCTAGAAAGTGCCAGAAGTTTCTGGAAGGGTGGGACTGCTCCAGAAGCCCTGACCTGTAGAGTCTCCCAGCCTGTCCTGAGGTGAACTCCCACCTCATCCCCAGACTGATTCATCCCATGCTTTTAAGATGAAAACAGAAAAAAAAAACTTATCATAGAAAGTGTTATTTTACCTAAAAAATGATGGATGCTTGAAAGAGACTTTCAGCAAGGTAGTGAGTCAACAGTAAGTGATTTAGCCATGCTTGGGAAACACATAAATGTTTATTCTTAAAAAAGTAAAAAAAAAAAAGACAGATGTGGTGGAAATTTCAATGTGCCTGCTTCAAATGAGAGGTGACAGATTTATGTACCTGTTGCAGACAGGAATGGAGAGAGTGCATGGAGGTGCACTGCAACTGGAGCATCCATAGAAACACCCTGCTCTCAATGCAACTGCTAATCTCGGTCACTACACCTGTCAGACAGCACAGTGATGGGAAGTTTTGTACTGGGGAGGAGCCTGATGGGATTCACAGACACTAGATCCCCATCAGGTTCCGAGCCCCTTCCCCTTTTGTGATTGACTGTGGGCATTGGACAGTTTCTTAGCTAACAGACAGCAGCTAATGGCTATAAAATCCATCTACTGCCTGCTGTCAATTACAAGGTGACAGGGGACAGTAAAGTTACCAAAATGGATGGTAGTAATTTTTGAATCTGGCTTAGGCTTTATTAAATTCCCCCAACAGAGTCTCTTCTGGTATAAAAAAAAAAGCCTTCCTGCATTTTTAAAAATGTAGTGCTAACCCTGTAGGAGCCGCTGGTATTACCTGGTTCTTCCCTAAAAGTACAGAGGTTGCCTGTCCCTGCAAGCACCAGTCCATTCATATCAGCTTCAATAATATAGTCTAGGGATTTGTTTTTAAGATTTATTGCTTGAAGAAACATTAACAGGAAAGGGGTTAGGGAATGGGATACTCCAAAATGAGTATTACAGAACAGTCTTCTCCTTAAGCTTTTGAGGGTGTTGGACAGACTAATACATCATTTCTAGTGACCATGAGGCAAGTCTCTGAGCAATCTAAGGCCTCACAGCTGAAGACCATGAGGCAGGCAAGTCTCTTTGGCATCTGATTACCTTGCACCAATGCATAACTGTTAGTTCCCAGTACAATCTCCAGGACACTGCACAATCACAGGGATCAATTTAGGGTTATCACTCACAAGTCCTCAGAACAGCTGCCACTTTCCAGGTTCCTCCGGACATGGTCCAGTGAGTGAGACAGTCCTTTTCCAGACCAGATCCCTTGTAGTGAGGTCTTGCAATCAGCTTCTAACAAGGTCCATCCAGGCCCACAGCCCTGACACTGATAAGGCCTCTAAATAGCTGCATTTTCCAAAGGCTGCCTGAAAGCAGCAGCTGCTCAAACCCTGGAACCCTCCAGTGCTAGAGCCCAGCTCGCTGGTGTTTTAAACAATTTATCACCTTTCCAGGCCCTCTCCAAGGATTGGCTGGAGCATGATAAATATTAAGGTTCGGTTATTGGCATCTCCCTCCTTAAGCTTCAGAACAGGGGTCTCCAAACGTTCTCCAAACTTTCTAAACAAAGGGCCAGTTTATTGTCCTTAAGACTTTAATGGGGCCGGACAGTGGCCAGCGGGAGTGAAAATTTTCTTGGCATCAGTGGGAATAAACATCGCCGCATTTGGTATTAGTTGAAGGAAATAATGCCCCATCATTGGTATCATTGGGGAGGAATACTGCCCCATTGTTCAAGTCAGTTGGCAGAATGTTGTCTCGCATCAGTTGGTGGAAAAGTGGCCTAAGGACCAGATAAAGGCAAGCAAAGGGCAGCATCTGGCCCATGGGCCACAGTTGGGAGACCGTTGCTCTGAAAGCTTCTTCCAGAGGAGGGGGAAGCAATCCAACTCCCAGCTTGTGCGACCCTGAACAGACCAGGACAAACAATCACTGCTCCCTGGACTACAGAAGGAGCCGAAAACTAAATTTACCTAGAATCCTACGCTAAGAGGGTGCTACACATGACTAGTGCACAAGAGATAGGCTAATCAAGACCCACTACACCACCATTTCCTCTCTTCACATATCAACCCTTTATAATTATCATTAAAGAAAAACCATAACACCGATTGGAGTAAAAATGGCCAACACAGCCTTTTATTAAAACTTCAACTTCAAATACACAAAACATTTCTTAAAACAGAAACACATAGTCAGAGTTGTTGGTCTTTGAAGGCACAAAAACCGAACCGATATCCACCTGCGGAAAACATATTACACTAGGCCTCCAGCCGTAACACACGGTTTGGAGACAACCATACCATCTGCAGTGGAGCACCACCACCTTCCAGTTAAACCTCAGTTAACTGGAATTCCCCCGGGCACACACCAATGGGTCCCAAACCATTATTTTTACCTTCCAAAATAAGTACCGCCTCCAAAGACCAACAACCGCAAAACAAACCTGAATAACACCCCCACCCCGGGAGTGACACAAAAACCCACACAAAAATAAGGGAGGGCGGGAGGGAAGCTCTTTCTTCTCCAGCAAATCAATGAATGAGGATGACCCTCCCCATCCCCCACCTCAAGGTGTAGAAGACCCCACCTACACTCCCCAGCTACCAATCAGGACATATATGTCCCTTACAACCCCACCTTGTGCTAATTTAACCCTTTCTTGTCTTTTCTTTAACCACTTTAGCCTCGTCATGCCTGCCCTGCGCTATTTTCTTTCTTTCTTTTTCGCTACGGGCATCTCTATATAGAGTTCACTTTACCAGCAATGTGGAGCTTGTATTGAGGCATTTTGTCAGTAAAAACTAAAGAGCAGTACAATGCAACAAAGCATGTGTTAGGGATGCATGCTAAAATGCAGCATTTTTATAATATTATACAAAGCGATGCACAATCTGATCCCTTATAGCATAGCCATGTGACCATCTGATCTCCTATACAAGAAGAACAACTGCATTGATCAGCGAGGAGAGTCGTGACCTTGATCAGATGGGAAGGAAAATGTTGATGCTTCGTTTATATTTGATAGGGAATCCCAACTGCCTGGCCTATTTCCTCCTATCATCCCATCTTCTCTTCTATGCCCGGATCCACTCTGGGTGCAATGAGGCGTGCAGAATATAATAATGGCTCCTGGCAGGTGAGGGTGTCACAGGAAGCAGCGCCGAGTGATTGAGAAGCAGATTCGGGCGCCCGAAGGCTCAGCCTGTACATTGATTTAGCCTCAGCTGTGCACATCTAATCCTATGCAATGCAACGTGGGGATTCTGCAGGGTCAGAGTTACTTTGATGTCAGGAGCTGCTCGCTTTCGCACAGTTCACAGGGCTAGAACGCAGATCTCCTCGTTGAGCAGCTGCCAAGCAA